AATGTAAATTTCAGAAGAGAATAGTGATTAGATTTATCTTAATAAAATATTTCCTAATGTTAATTCTTGACATAATTCATTCTCCTCATCTCTTATAAGTTTGGTTTTATAATGTCAATTCCTTCCCTCTGCATTTTACTGTTACTATTGTATGATAAACATTTTCCCAATGTCATTAAAGTTGTAGAATTGAATTAAATGGTTTTCTAGTATTCTAGTGCATCATTTATTTTACCTTGCCCTTCTGTTAAAATTTTATTTATAACTTTTTAAGTTAAATTTATTTATAAGTTACAAATTTATAACTTTTTGATTTTAGGTGAACATCTTTGAGTCCACTGATGAGTTGCTCTCTATGATAAAGATGATGGTGGTTGGCTAATATTTAGAATTTATTGTGAATAAATTATAGCAAAGTATATATGTGTATTTTTTATTGATAATAACCATAATGATACAAATAACAAATCTGGGGATCTCTTTTCTTAACTATTTTATCAGTCCAGAAAAAGTTTCTTCCATGAATTGTGTAATATATTAGGACAATGTCAAGAAGGTAAAAAAATAAAGTTGTGTGATTGCTTTGAAGGGTTTCCATTGCACAAAAAAATTCACCTACACTAGTTAATTTTTAAAACCAAATTCCTAACATTGTTCTGCATGCGCAATGTCAATCTGGTTAAATTATTTTCTCTTTTTGTCTCTTAGAAAATGGTTTTTTCTCAATTATGGAATCCGTTAAGTTGCAGATTTATTTTGCTATTTAGCTTGATGATTTTCAATACTGCTTTTTTAAAAAAATCAAGGTAAGTACATTTAGGCTATTTAGGAGAATGTCTGGGAGTGTGGATGGATTACCTTTGTCAGGTAGTTGTAGTCAGATGCTTGCAATTAATGAAAGAATAAAATTAGCTACATTTTCTTTACAGTCAATTTAGGCTTTCTTCTACTCATATGTCATCTAAGGAATTTTTTTAAATTTATGTAGCTTTTATACCAATGGGTAGACTTAATCCAGCCAGTATTTAAAGACTCTTGATACAACCTTTAAAGTGCTATGAGAGCTTCACAGAGAAAAGCTGAAAAACTTCAAAGACACTGAGGAAAATGATGGTTTAAACTCCAAGTAGAAAGAGGTTCTAGCTGAGAAAAAAATTCTCTTTAAAAATCTTGGCCTTGCATTACCACGCATCTAACTCCAGTAAGAGTGATTCACATAACAAAATCCCTAAACTACAGATGTTGGCGCATGGATGTGGAGAAAAGGGAACACTTCTGCACTGCTGGTGGGAATGCAAGGTGATATGTCCCCTTTGGAAAGAAGTATGGAGAATACTCAGGGATCTAAAAGTAGACCTGCCATTTGATCCTGCAATTCCTCTACTAGGTGTATATCCAAAAGACCAAAAAGCACTTTATGACAAAGATATTTGCACCAGATTATTCACTGAAGCTCAATTCATAATGGCCAAGTTATGGAAGAAGAGCAAGTGCCCATCAACCCACGAATGGATTAATAAACTGTGGTACATGTATACCAGGGAATATTACGCAGCCTTAAAAAAGATGGAGACTTTACCTCATTTACGTTTGCATGGATGGAGCTGGAACCTATCCTACTTAGTAAAGTATCTCAAGGATGGAAGAAAAAATATCCAGTGTACTCAGTACTATTATGAAACCGATTTACAATCAC